GCTACCAAAAATTTAGTTTTTCTTAATTTTTTTGAGTACGCTTTGAGTTACAGAGTTGCGGATTGCGGCACAATACGGCACAAACGTAGCACAATGCAGCACAATTCGAAAAAATACAAAATTCGAAAAGTGCGGGGCCAACTTCACACACGTACGAAGTGGGAATGGAATTTACAATGTCATAGTATAAAACTTCTTTAAGACGACTTAAAGACGTCTTAAAGACGTCTTATGTCACGATCTTAGACATTGTGTTGTCTGAGAAGTTACCAATTTACTCATTTGTATCATTCAGTAGAAAGAAACGAGATCTTTCGCTTTCGCAAACAATTTTTTTTTTTCCTTTGCTTTCGTATTCGCTTTTGTTATAACCACTTTCGTTACAACCCTATTGCAATCCCGCACGCGATCGCGCCGCGTAAAAGTGTCGACGGAAGTAGAGAGGAAAAAGCAGCATCGCGTATTTGATAAAGCTGCAATATTTGACGGCGTGCTCTCTCGGCTAACGAAGCGGCTCGCATAAATCCACAATGCTGGGAACGCGAGCGCATTAATAATATTACAAAATATATTAATACGCGCGCGCGCAAAGCGTTTTACAGCTAAACGTATTCCTAATGAGAATGACGCGCGCGCGGCTTCAGTTTCCCCCGTGTATTGCTCGCGCGGTTATACAAATGTGGACGGGCACGCTGCAAATTAAGGTTTAGAGTTGCTACAAATCAGTATCGAAGTTATGGACGCGCCGAGCCGGTAAATCTAAATCCCTCGCGATTGTCTGTCAATTATTTATGATTGGCGGCAATTTGTCCAATCGAGAATAAGCCCTCTTCTACCGGATGGGCTTTACCGGCTGCCATTCAATGTTTCGGACTGTATTATCCGTTTCTCTCTTTACCCTTTTCTTTTTTCATCCCTCCCGTTTCTTCCCCCTTTCTTCCCTCCCTTCCCTCTTTCGCCTTCAGTTTATCCTTAACCCTTGGCGGGCGAGCGCGCGCACGAGAAATCCGAAGAAAAATAATTAGCTCGTATTTCTCGGCTTATCTGCGTCGCGGCGAATAAATGGAAACGTTATCGCCAGCAAACTATACGCTCGTGTGAAGCGCGCACGGCACCGATAACAAATATTACGATATATTGCAAATTCAATCGGGGTCACGGAATTTCCATTTAAATTGCATTTTTGCGTGGGGCATAAATGTGCGCTGCAAACCCAATTAATTAATTCTGACAATCAGTCCGATTCTCTTCATCGGGAAACCAGATATCGGCCGGGCAACGGTGATGCGATTTCAATACGCATTATGTTGTACGCGCGCGTGCAAAAAGCGCGGCAGGACGAAAGGACGACGCGTCACGCGCTATTTATGCGCCCGCGGCCGCCGATCTGCGTTCCGAGCAAAGTGAGTCGGCAGTCGAAAAAATATTCTAATGCCACTGCCGGGCACGAGAGAGAGAGAGAGAGAGAGAGAGAGGGGGGGGGGAGAGAGAAAGAGAGAGAGGGAGAGAGAGAGAGAGAGAGAGAGAGAGAGAGAGAGAGAGAGAGAGAGAGAGAGAGAGAGAGAGAGAGAGAGAGAGAGAGAGAGAGAGAGAGAGAATCCGGACTCGCCGGTTTCGCGTTCCGATAAGCGAGCGCGCAAAAAGCCACTCGCGTGACACCACTACGTGCTGCCGGAGCGGCGCTTTTATTCGAAGCCACCCACCTACTTGAAGAAGCGCGAGACGCGACTTCGATCGCAATCTCTCTCGCACTCTCATTTATTCCCCGACGACGTCGTGATTGATCCGCCGATCGACTCACACCGACCGGCCTGCGGCGTCGTCTCCCTCGCCGCGCCGGGCCGCAATTTCGAAGCGCTGCCGATCGAAGTATCGCTCGCGAATTTCGCGCATCGGAGGTGTCATTGTAGTCCCGGTGTTAATCAAGCGAGGTGACGAAACTAATGAAATGGCCGAGCTCATTTTCGGCGCGGCGGATTGGCCTCGCGCCCGCGACATGCGCGTGATTATCGGCGGCGATCGAGAATTTTCGTTCCTCCCTTTTTCCTCTTCTTTTTCTTTCGCTTTCTTTTTGGAACTCGTGCGAAATGTATTCGCGTGATGTGTTTGCCTAACAAGCCGTCGCGTGACGCGCGGTTTCGCGGGGCTCGATGGAGGACCGGACGGCGTTCTATTCCCGCCGCTTACGCGCGCGCGTCTCCCTTTTTCTGGCTACTTACTTAACTAAGTTCGCGCGGAAAAAACCAACGTCGCGTGCGAGCGCGTCGAATTTTCTAGCGCGCACACAGACAGACACACACACACACACACATGCACGCGCGTACGCCGCGCCTCGTAGGAAAAAGTTTGCGCGCAGTTCGCAAGTAGATTAATCGCCGGCTCCGCGAAAGATCCGAGTAATCCCGTTGCGAATGCGCGTTTCCTCGCGCGTTTCTTCATCCGTGTAACGCGAAATGCGCGACGTTGCGATTCGCCGTAGTCCTAAGAAAGCGAGGAGTTCCGCGAGGACTCCAGTCCCATCGACGATCGACCGCGGAAAGCGGTGCTCCCCTCCCCCCGTTCTCTAAAGTACAATCAGCGCGTTCCTCGGCGGAATGTACTGTACTTGCAAATAAGTAGCGCTTTATACAACTGAAACTGCTGTACAGTTATGAGTTGCAGCACCGCAATCAGCAAAATCTCGCTGAAAGGATCGGTTAATAGCGGCGACTGCTGGCGTTATTGATGCAATTTGCGCAAACACGGTTCGCGCGTGTTTTCGCGCGCAGGCCGCACGAAAGCCGTTAATTCCACCGCCGCAAAAACACAGAAAGTTGGATTCGACGCAACGTGTAGGCTAAAACTTGCGCCGGCCGCCCGAGTTTTTCATCCTGTTCTCCGACCTCTCCTCAGCACTCCCTTTAACGCTAATTCAACATCCTGCGCAGCCTACATTAACCCCTGTTTCCGTTTAGCCTACAGTTTCCCAGGGAGGTCCTTTCGAAAGAGCGCGGCAAACTAGGCATTTTCTGCCACTCAGAGGCGCCGAGTAAGACTTTCGATCTTCCGTGCGAATAAAGTATTAATTGGCCTCCGCAGAATTGTCGAATTATCGACGAATTATCAATAATTTTTATTAACTCGATCGGGAACTTGCAGACTGATTCATTTCAACACCGCAACTAGCAGAGCCAGGTCGAAGCGATCAGTTTGTGTTATTTCCTACAAAAATTAGCCGAGTTTGTACAACGACGCATTTTCGACCGTTCTAATGGACGCTGAATGAAACTGAAAGATATAAATAAACATTTCTGCATAACGTTTCCTCCTACCTGCCCCAAAAAAACCTCCTGTCACTTCGATCGTTCTGATAGAAATGAGTCGCATTGATCATTGACAGTTTCAGTACCAAGAGAATAGCCGAGCGAGAGAGAGAGAGAGAGAGAGAGAGAGAGAGAGAGAGAGAGAGAGAGAGAGAGAGAGAAAGAGAGAGAGAGAGAGAGAGAGAGAGAAGAAAGAGAGAAGAAAAACACAAGCAAGAGCAACTGGCGCGTAAAATTCGTGTGTTCGCCACAACACTGAGCGCGTATATTTTTCCCCTCATTAATATACAAACGCGCGCGCGAGAAAGCCGCGAGCGCGCACGAATCCGCGCCGATTCCGCGGACGTCGCCGAGCGTGCTGTTTGAATGTGTTGCGCGGCCTCTCAATTATATCGTCTTTCGCATTAATTGGGCGAAACGTCGCGCGAGCAGCCCCGTCGACTACCGGCCAAGCCAACTCTTTTCCCCTTCGACCGTCCGCCACTTCGCCGTGTGCTTCCGTCTGCCATACTTCTGCTTTGTCAACCGTCCCCCTCCCGTCCCCTTGCCGCGCGCGACCACCCACGACTTCGGCCAGCCCTTCCACTCGTGTCAGCTTAACGTCACTCATGCTCGTATACGGCAGGTCCTTTTTGTCACATTCTCTCTCTTTCTCTACTCTTCCTGCCTGCTCTCTCTTTCTCTCTCTCTCTCTCTCTCTCTCTCTCGTCCCTCCTTTATCCCGCCGCGCGCACTATTTTAAAGTGCTGCGTTCGAACAACAGGCGCGCGTAATAAGACGTCCGCCTGCTGGCATTCCGCAGTCATCCTCTCGCTCGACTAATCGCTCCCGTGAAACTCTCGACGACGTTGAACTACGCGAGAAGAGAGCAAGTCCCGCCGCCCCGCAGAGCCCCGTTAATTCCCGCATGAATCGTTAATCCGCGGATATGGCAGGGAGAAAGTGGCGGACCCGGGAAACGACGACGCGGCCTTGGCACAAAGGCTGGCAAGAAAGTGCGCGCAACTGCATTTTCCGGCGACAAGCGCTCCGACGACAAGCCGCTTTGCAGCGGACGATAGCTGCATAAATTAACCCTTTGCCCGCTGACAGCCGCCCCGAGCCGTGGTGGCAGTTGCCCGGCTCGGCCCGCTGTTGTTCCGCGACGAACAGGCGCGCGCGGTGTGTACACTTAATCAGAGACGTTGTCGTGGGAAATCTATAAATTTTGTTTGAAATGTTTCGCGAGCAGACAGCCGGGTAAACAAAATACGACGCGGCTGCAACGCGGGGGCCCGGGGGCCCCCCGCGGCGACAGACGCGAGAAGACCGCAGAAGGTTAATGCCGATATCGCAGGGGTGAGAGCGTCCCTTTCCACGAGAGAGAGAGAGAGAGAGAGAGAGAGAGAAGGAGAGAAAGAAAAAGAGAAAGAGAGGAGCGCGCGGGTGCACTATTTACGCGGCCGATATCAAGAACAGCTTATCCGACGCACAATGCCAGCAACACTTGTTGCTCATTCGAAGATGATCATAAACAATGAACACCGCGCGCGCGGCTGCTCGCTCGCGCGCTTCCGAGGGGCGCGCGTCTCTCCGACGCGGCCGACAGCGAGCCTCCTCGTCCGGGCCGCCGCGATTAGCGGCGTGACGTAACGACACGTTGCGTGCGCGAAGACGCACGGCGTAGCGTTTTACAAGTGGAAAACTCTAAAGACTCACCCCGCTCGGTGGCACGCTGGCGCAACAATTCCCACTTGGCCGGCTCGAGCACGGTCTGTCGCGCAGCTTGTTCTTTCCGCTCCTCCTCCTCCTCCTCCTCCTCAGCCTCTATAACTCTCGCTCGTCATGTCACGTTTCCAACTGCCTAGCCGCGGCTCCCCGGAGTCTACTTTACACAGGTTACACTGCACGTCACCGTCCTTTTCTCGCTTTTCCCGGGCCTCATGCGTGAACGGTTCTTTAACAGTCCGACTCTTTAACAGTCCGGCGAGGTACTGAAGGGCCGCCGAGAGCGGACGTGCCGCATCAAACGACGCCTCGCTGCTGCTCGCACTGCACAATCAGCGTCTCCGTGATTTCGAGGTCGCGCGCGCGTCGAGTCTCGGAAAAGGACGACGAGCGCTGGTCCTCGGAAGAAGCGCGGTGCCTTCGCTTCGCTTCGCTTCGGGCTCTCGCGACCGAGCACGCCGCGCGCGGTTGTCACGTGTCGACGGCAAGAGGAAACTGTCTGTCATGGGCGACCGAGGCGAGGGCCGGACCTCCTGCGAGTCCGCTTCCGCTGGTCCGCCTTCGAGGTCTCGCGCGCGCGCGCGCGCGCACGACCGGGTCACGGCGAGTCACCGCGGGCCGAGGGCCGGAAATGCGAACCCAGAGAGTCCAGAGCTGCGAGAGCCGGAGACGATTCGCGCGAGCGCTCCCGTCTGACGCGGGCTAAGAAGAGGGACTCGCGCGTTCTTACTCTAACTCGGGACTCGCGGCGGCACGTTTCTCGGGAGAGACAATCGCGGGGGACGCGGCCTCCTGGCGTTCCGTCAGCGTTGTCCAGTCACGTGGCGGTAGACGCCGCATTCATTGATCGCCCGGCGACCTTGGTGGTGTGCCGATGGTAAGCTCGCTCGACGGCGAGGTCAGTTCATGCATGGGCCAGCACTGGGTGCGCGCGTGAGGCCGGCCGACCGGGTCGCCGACCCGGCGAACGCGACGTTAGTCCCGCGTGAGCGCGGCCGCGGGCGGTCGAGAACGCTGCGCTGAGGCCTGCTGACAAGCCAAGGCCTCGTCGCGAGCACGAGGACGAGGACGAGGACGAGGACGAGGACGAGAAAGAGACAGACAGACAAACAGACAGACAGACAGACAGACAGAGCAGGTTCGTTGGTCGTGCCGCGTGCAAGCCGCGGGCTCCTCGCATTCGCGGGGGGAGAGGGGATTCGCCGCCGACGGCGCCGGGCCAGCCGAGAGAGACACCGCTTCTCTCTGTCGCGGCTATATGCCAGAACACGCTCGTGTTTATGCTGGGAAACGAGTGCGTTTTCTGCAGAGCTCGCGAGCAAATACGTCCGTTCGCGAACTGTTCGCCAAACGTACTGAGGCACCCGGCGGCTGCTTCGCCGGTGACGTTCTGCCTCCGCGGCTTCGATTCCCGGATGGGCATGCGCCACGTTCCGCGCTTTCGGGGGGAGGTTGCCGCCGCCGCCGCCGCCGCCGCCGCCGCTGCCGCTGCTGCTGCCGCCGCCGCCGCCGTCGCCGCCGCCGCCGCCGCTGCTGCTGCTGCTGCTGCTGCTGCTGCTGCTGCTGTTGTTCGCGGAGGTGCATCCACCAGCGAGAGGTGGTTGCCTGTGGAGTTGCCGCTGCTGCCAGGGAGCCTACCTTCCTTTCGTACCTTTGCCACCCCTAGCGCTCGCCCTGCGCTTCTGCCTGTCTCTCTCTCTCTCTCTCTCTCTCTCTCGCTTTCCTTCGCTCGTCTTGTCGATTGAACCTCGTCCTTTCGTCGGTCTACGTCTATCGTCGCGGTCAACGGATTTACGTCGCCGGCGACGTAAACTGTCATTACGAAGCTTTCTTTCCAGCAAAGCGATTTTTCGGTTCAATTAGACTGATTCTTGCTCGGCGGTCGCGGGAAATTTCGATTCGGCCACAGTGTCTGTCTGTGCGTTCACTGCTGCTCGCCAGCCTTCCCGTATTTATATTAGGTTGGTACAAAAATAATTGCGGTTTTATCATTTTAAGTCTGGCGCCGATTTTTCTAGTTATCGTTATCTTTTTCAGAATTCTATCTTGCGGGAATAAACAAATCTGTTCCCCGTTGGGAGAAATGTGTGCAGGCCGATGGTCTTTATTTTGATTAATAAATATAATTTTTAACTAATTTTTTAACTAATTTTTTAATTGAATTTTTAACTGATATATAATACGTCTTGATACTCGATATATAAAAACCGCAATTATTCTTGCAGCAACTTAATATTAATAATTTAACGTACCCGTATTTTTAAGTAAAACCGGGACGCTTTGATTGTGTTTTACTTGCTTTACATTGTGCCTCAAGAGGCATCTCTCGAGCCGCACGTTATCGCGTTTTTATGGACAATCAAGCTATTTTCGATGTTGATACGATTTTTATCCCCGGCTCTTCGTAACGAGACGGACAGCTCAGAAAATTCGCACAACGAATATCCTGCCTGTCTTCCCGAGGCAGATATTAATATGGATTCAACAATCTATCCGCGCTCGTTTCCATGTCGAAATGTCTATTTGTTGCGAGGTAACTGTTCGCGAAGCGAAATGGAGGGTAATTACGACCGGGGCGCACTTGTTGCTCTTGCTGTTGTTGTCTTTCTGCTGCTGCTCGCCGACGAACATGCGCGTTTGAGCGTCATGTAGCTTCTTGAGAAATTGATCGGCGGCCAAATTTTCACTTCTCAAGCGCAGTTTCATACGATTCACGCATTGCGATTTCGCTGTGAGTCTCTCGGCGTCAAGCCGTCGCGTCGCCACCGCATAGGACTTTGCGCGTCAATCGTTTCGTAAAAAATAAAAAGAAGCCCTCTGGTCGAATGGCCAAACTCGATATCAGCGAGACGCTGACTTACGTATATGACGAAGTTGCCAATAATTAAATCTCCCGCAAACTTACCGATAACCGCGACGTTACAGCGCGGCTAAACCGTTTCCCCGATACGTATGCCCGACGGCTCGCGGAAATGCACAGCGTGTTATTTATTTACATATCGCTTATATCTAAATATATCGTCTGGAGCAGAACACACACACACACACACACGCGTGTAGAACGCGAAATTGTATCACGTTTCTGCGCTTGTTGGCCCTACGTAATTAACGTTACACGCACCGTAATGCATGTTTCATTATGCGGCCGTTGCATCGCTGTTGCACCATAATTAGTAAGCTTAAAGGCAGATATTATTCGAATGAATGATGAAACGTGATAGTCGTGATACGCGTGATGAATAGGCTTCGAAGGATTATGAACGGCCCGCGTAATATCCCGCGAAGTAAGTAGCGCGAGTGCGGATTCTCCGCGGGGATTGCGCGAGCGACGTTATTTCACTCTCTCTCTCTCTCTCTCTCTCTCTCTCTCTCTCTCATTCTTTCTCTCTTTCTCTCTCTCCCTCTTTGCATTAACGTATTACTGCTTTTCCGCCTCGCGCCGTTCCACCGCGGCCGTCCCTTGCGCGTTCGCCGCACGCGGTCGATGGTAAAAGGAAAAGCTACTTAATCGAAATCACGGTATCCCGCAAATAAAACAGAGCCCTTATCGACAGTCTTTTTCGAATCACAGAACGAGCGCTCGTCCAGTCAGCATTTTATCACCCGCGCCAATTGAAACGCGTCTAGGGAGAGAGAAAAAGCGAGACGCAGAGGAGAGCACGAATGAGAGAGAGAGAGAGAGAGAGAGAAAAAAAGGGAGAGAAAGATAATCGATTTTGACGCAAAGGGGGAGAGGGGCGACATTTCGTATGAAAATCGACTGGCCGGACGGCAGAAACGCTGTTTGTCGCGGTCACTTTTACGAGACAGATCGGTGCTACTGGTCTTATAATGGCCGCACCGATTGCGCGTCGCGCGAGAGATTTACTTGACATTTTGCACCAGTCCTCATAATCAACGAACGCTCATTCAAGTTGCGAGGCAACGCGACGCCGTGCGACGAACACGCCGGGCTCCTTACGCGGGGCTTACGACTTTCCCTAACGTCTCTCCCGCCGAAATCTCAATTACCGGGCATAACTCGAGAAGTAACGTCGGCTTCCGCGCCGGCTCGTGCGCTGCACTAACTTCCGTGGCGGGATGGAGGTACATACGTCGGCGTTTCCATTGGTCGATCGGGCATGAATTTAGACGACGCCCGGATAACCCCGGAGATTGAGACAATATGCGTCGGCTGTGTCGCTGCGGTTCGCCGTCGCGCGAAGCTACGTTGCTACGTACTACCGGCGGTAGCTCTCTCTCTCTCTCTCTCTCCCGCCTCCCCCCCCTCTCTCTCTCTCTCTCTCTCTCTCTCTCTCTCTGGGCCCGGAGGCTCTTGGCACGGCCGAGAGAACGAGAAACCCAGTTAACTCGGCAGGTTGATTACGCGCGGCAGGTGTCACGCGCTCAACTTACTTAAGTTTCGTCTAACTGTGCGAAATATCTTACGAATTACGAGAGGGACTAAGCGAGAGGAGGAGAGAGAGGAAGAACTTCCCTCCGCGCGACGCGCCGGTCGCAAACCGCCCGCCGCCGCCGCCGATGCCGCAGTTAATTGCATTCGCGAGCGCCGGTGCACTTTCTATATTCCGCGAACGCAAGCACAGGATGGCGGGGGCGGAGGCGGAGGCGGGGGCGGGGGGGGAGGTTGGAAGAGCCCGCCGCAAGTGCACTTCGCACGCGCCCGCAGAGCGCTGTCCTTTTTGCCGATGATTATAACGCACGTTCCTCCCTCGCGCCGCCGCGTTGTGTAACGCAACAACGCTACGCGCAACGAAGCGCAAGTGCGAATTTACGCGGGATCGATATCTATTAACGCGCGTGCACACGGAACGACACGAGCGAGTTTCGCCGCTCGCGCGTTCCCCTCTCTTTCTCTTTCCGCCTCTTGCCTCGCGCTAACGCGCGTTGTCGCGCGCCGCAGAGATTAATTAATATCGGCTACGACGGATTAGGGCAGTTCCAGCTGGCGGCGCGCGCCTACACCGAGAAGCGGCAACTCGACTCCGGCCATTTTTTTTTTCGGGTTATCAGGTCAACTCATTATCCGAGGCCAAGGACTGAGCCGTAATAAAACGCTCCGGTTCCGCAAAATCGAGCCGCCGGGGGAATTAATCTATTCTGTCGCGCGATCATTCAATCTCCTCGGATTGCAGTTTTTTACATTCTCCGACTCGCTATATATGGCACAGTCCGCACGAATATGCCCGGTAAAACGAATCTGGTGAGCTCGACATTTGATTTCATCGAATGACCTACACGCCGCGGATGGCTTTTCATGAAATCTACGCTCCCACATGGCGATCAATTGATTCAAAAATAGGATAGGTCGTCAATTCGTCGCGGCTAGCAAATCGAAGCGCGCGCGCGCGCGCGCGCGCGCAGCGATCAGCGGTCGATTGTAATCGCGATGAATTGCCGACGAGTTAGGAGATACTGCATACGCCGTTACGTCGTATAACGAGCGAAACTAATATCCCGAAGTAGGTTTTTCGGAAATGGCCACATTGACTCGGGATGGGATGGGCCGTAGTAAAAAAAGTAAAAAAGTCGACGGGAGTCGCAGTTCCGATTGCTCCCGAGATAGTCGCGATAGACGGAAGAGTCGTGTAAAGAAGACCTTCCGCGCGATCTCAATTCGATCGTCTCTCTCGGTAATGTAAGGCGCCCGGATAAAAATGTAGAACAATGCGAGATAATTCACGTGTGGAAACACACGTGAACCTTCGACGATTCCGAAGTAATCGAATCCCGGAGCGCGTCGCCGAGCAAAATCGATTTTACGAGATTCTCCCCGTTCTCTTCTTGTCGCGAGATGTTTTCCAAAGCGGCGCGCATTTAAATCTCAATGTTCAGCGAACGATATTTCTACTCGTTCCTACGACCGAATTCGATCGGGACATTTTTTCTCTTCTGATAAATACGCGGCGGCTGAGACGCGGTATTATTTTTTAAGCTGGATTTTTACGCGATATATCGCGTAGCCGCATTTGAATGACAAAAAAAACATTTTCGCACGCGCGCCGCGCGGAGAAAGAGCAGTAAAGACGGGAAAGAGAAACGAGAGGCAGGAAAATGTACATCGTAATGCGAGGAAGAAATACCATGAAGAACAGCTGAAACGGAGGGAGCCGAAGCGCGAAGAAAGAAATTCCGAAAGACGTCCCCGTAGTCCCATCTATCTTTATTCTCACGTCCTGGTATTAATTTCGCGATTATTAATTGCGAAGACATTATTAACTTGCGCCTGGACAGGTCGTCGAGGGGGGGGGGGGGCGACGGCACGACGACAACGTGGCGGGGGTCGCTTTAAAATGCGTCAGGAATGCGCGCGCGAGAACGTAAAGACGAGGGTAGAGGAGGAGGAGGAGGAGGAGGAGGAGGAGGAGGAG